AGTATAGTATTCTATAACATATTTATATAACAAGCCCTCATTACAATAAAACAGGTTGTTGATATTTCAGTTTTGTAAGTGAAGCTGCCATCAGCATTCTTCTATATACTCTTGAGCGATGCTCGGGCAGGAAAGCACTGCACAAGGGCTCTCAGACAGGAACACACAGGTCTAAAACTTAGTATGTGAACAGGGCACAACCCTTCATCTCCTTGGACTCAGAGTCTTTATTTATGAAATGGAGATAGTTTTTTATCTCCACAAGAAATAATTCTATCGATTTTACTTCTTAAGTTTATCAGGCATCACATGGCTCCCCACCTTATTTGATAAATGACTACTACTTTCCACAAAGCAAAGAATGCCAAAGAACATTCATAATATCAATGCTTGCTCTCTGTAAAGCAAATCAAACTTAGTAGACAAGACTCTTCTCTATGTGTACTTGTCCCTTTGTTTATACAATAGCAAGTACTTCAGGCAAATTCTTATAAACTTGATGGTTCTTCCATCTCAGGCCCCACCACTAACAATACTATATTTTCTCATTTTCCTTCTGAGCTTTCTAGATTTCTGAAACAGCGTTCCTGTCTTCACATAACGAGAAAGGGCACTTATTTATTTCTCAGTCACAAAGTCTTTGAATTGTAACTCTGATATTTACTTTAGTTTAATTACTGAATTGCCTTTATATGCAACTAAATTTCGGATGGGCTGATATAAAAATGCAATCTCTCTTTTAGCAGAAATAAAGATTTGCAAGTACTAACTTTAGTCAGTTAATTATTCTGTCCTTTTTACTGTGCTTTTCACTACTAAAGCAGTCTTGCCTTGAGACTAAGAAATCCTACAAATTGACTTCTGCCTAAACTTTTCTCATTGACCATGTTTAGAACCAGTCAAAGTGATACTGCTCCTTCAATAAAGATCATTATTGAAAACCCCATCTTGCCATAATGTGCTACGGAAAGAAGTCAGTAACAGGGACCTATCTGTGGAGCCTCTGGTTTAAGTTCTTGCACTCACGCTCTAGAGCTAGATAACAGTTATTATTTCAGGAGGAAAGGAAGTTTTCATTTGCTGCACTCCTCAGTACAGGTCAACAGTCACTGCACAGCTGCCATGGTCATTTTTTCCATTTAAGTGGGCTCAAGTGTACATTTAGGGCAGAAAGTCCTCAAATAGCACAGGTCTTACATACACTATGCTGATTCTAAGGCAGGATTAGTGGAGAAGAGTGGGGCCTGGGACAGATTGGGCATCTAGGTTTCTGATACTTGCATGGCACACATCGAAAGTATTTATGAAAGTTCACCAGGAAATCTGTCTGATGTGTTGGAAAGTTGGGGCATTTCCTCTTCCTTCAGGATGTTATGCTGGAGGAGAGGGCGGACCATTGGGGTCAAAAAGTAGATTTTGTTAACTTTGAAGGTTAGCAAAACTCTGGGTCAAATTTAAATTTTTCTTTTAAATAGTAATTAGGTTATAAAAGTTGTAAGTTCATGGTAAAAAAAGTTCAAACAGTACGGAGAGGAAGAAGGTGAAAAGTAACTCTTCTTTTCAATCTTCTCATTTCACTCTTATGTTTCTGTGCATTCCATTAACTTCTATGTACCTATTAGCACATACAAAGGTATAGGTATAGCATACCTTAAAAAAAACCTAAAACACTAATGGATTATACTAT